GACTGCAGGCGAGCCGCCGCGCCCGCGAACCGCCGCCCGCCCGCGCTCACCCTCGGCGCTGTCGCGGATGCGCTGGAAGTCCTCGGAGCGGCCGTCGCAGAACGCCCGGCACAGCGACAGGCACAGGAAATCCAGCATCCAGCCGGCTGCCACGGCCTCGGCCCTCGCCACCACGTCCGCCGCCTCCGCCTCCGCCGCCGCGGGGGCCTCGCACTCCACCTGGCAGTCCAGCAGCTCCTGGCAGTCTACGTGCTCCTGCTCGCCGCTCGCCTTCCCCGTCGGCTCCGGCGCCGCGGCGTCCGCATCGCCCTCAGCGGCACGCCCGCCCGGGCTCGCAGCCGAGAAGGCGCCGTCGTCCGCCATGTTGGTCCTCTCGCGCCTGCGAGCGCCCCCTAGCGCGCCCGCGGGGGTTATCTCCCGGCGAGGCGTGACCGCGCGGAGTCGCTTCCGCTGGCGGGAAACCAGCCAATCACGCAGCCAGGATGGGACACGTGGTCGAGCCTGGCTTCTCATTGGCCGAGGCCCGCTCGCTTCTCCGGACCCAGAATTCCCGCCAGACCCTGGCTAGGGTTTGTGGGTGGAGCCCCCGACGCAGTTGGGAGGCCACTGGGAGCTTTTGGGGCGGGGCGGGGCGGGGCCGCTTCATCCTCCTTTTAAAATACAACCTTGATGGAGACAAGCGTAGTTAAAGTGGAAACACATTTTTCCCGCAGCTACTTGGACAGGTCTTTAGAAGTAGTCACTATAATTCAAGTTTAAAGCTTTAGATGCCAAACTAATTCAACTATGCAGTTTGCTAGAGTATTATAGGCAGCTAACTTAGAGTTCAATATACAGTCAGGGAGGATTGGGCCCTTAAGGAAATCAGAACAAAAAATAAAGACATCACAGTTGTGGCTAGAGGCTCATCTGAAGGCCAGGTCTCAACTTAAAGATGCAACGGCCAGGCTTCTATGGCCCAAGGAACAAACAGCAATTTGAGACTATACTGTAATCAGCACCACCTGGCTAAGAAGTCCAGCCAGGCCTCAGATGCCTAGCGGGGTGACCAGAGCATCTGGACCCATCCCTTCCAAAAAGTGCCATTTGTGACTCATTCTCCTACTGGATCAGTATTAGTGAAGTGACTATACAATATTTAGAATCCTACAGGTTGATTGTAGTTTGACCCATATTGTATCTATGTTGTAACTTTGCTGTATAAATTACCCAAAGAGCTTCAGAGGCCAACCCATTCGGGGGACCACCCCTGGGAAACCAGGAGCTATTCTCTTTAGTTCCAATGAAACTCTCCAAACTTCTTCCTGTGGTTCATGACTTCATTCTTTTTTTTGTTGTTGTTTTTTGTTTTTGTTTTTTCTCCGGTACGGGGAACCAAACTCACGACCTTGCGCTTGCCAGGCAGGCGCTTTGCCGCTGAGCTAAATCCCCAGCCCCCATGACTTCATTCTTTGGCACATTCGACATCTAACAGGTCGGGAGTTATATATCTCCTATAGCAACAGGATTGCAAACCAAAACGGTTCCAAAGAACTGACATCCTTGCCTTCCAACTATGACATGCATCATAATCTGCCCCTAGACCATATTGAAACACAAACTGTTAAAAAAAAAAAAAAAAGAAACACAAACTGTTGGGCTTCATTCCTGGAGTTTCAATTCTATAGTTCTGGTTCGGAGTCCTCAATATGCAAGTCTGATTAGTAAATTCTCTGGTAATGTGGAGCCTGCTTGACTGAGGATCATATTTTGAGAACTACTGCTTTACGGCTAGTAGATTACTATGGAAATGTATTTTAATTGCTCTCTTAGACTATAGAATAGATAAATGAGTATTTATTATTATTATCATTTTGCAGTGCTGGAGATCAAACCTAGGGCCTATGCGTGTGATAGGCAAGCGCTGTACCAAAGAACTAAGCCTCAAGTCCCTGATAGCTTGTTTTTAATTTTGAATCTTACAGGACAAAAGGAAGTTCTAGGTTGTGTGTGTGTGCATGTGTGTGTGTGTGTGTGTGTAGGAGGGAGGCCTGGTTATTGTCTTTCTTGATGTGGTTTATAGTTACAATAAGTTTGGTCACTATGAAAATTCATTGAACATCACTTATGCACTGTTTTGTATTTTAATTTTCTATATATCTTACTACGCTAAGGCAGTAGATAGCAGTGTTTACATCTTTTGTTTTTTGTGTTTGAGTACACTAGCAGTTGAAACTAGGACCTCACATTGCTAAGCCTCTACTATGGAACTGAATTCTCAGACTTTTATTTTACGATATGGTCTCAATAATTTGCCTAGGTTGGCTTTTTTTTTTTTTTTTGGTTTTTGGTTTTTCTCCGGTACGGGGAACCAAACTCACGACCTTGCGCTTGCCAGGCAGGCGCTTTGCCGCTGAGCTAAATTCCCAGCCCCTGCCTACGTTGGCTTTGAACTTGGGATCCTCCTGCCATAGCCTTCTAAATGTGAAAGCTAAGCATGCAAAAAAATGAGTTAATTTACCGTTACAGTTACAGTAAACCTAGCCCCTTACTCCATCAGGTTCCTCTGAACTGGCATATACGAAGTGCCATAACATTCCACACAGGCGGGGGTGGGGATTTAGCTCAGCGGCAAAGCACCTGCCTGGCAAGCGCAAGGTCGTGAGTTTGGTTCCTGGTACCGGAGAAAAACCAAAAAAAAAAAAAATTTCCACACAGGCTAAACTATATGTAAAAGCAAATAATAAGCATACCTTTCATGTGGAACACGCATATTTCTTCTCAATGACATGTGACTTTTTTCTTGGAGCTCATGCCTACAGGATCTTGAGCCTGAAGGTCCCTCTGTGAGGACCACAGCAGTGCACCATGTCACACGGGCTGCTTTAGTGTAGCCTGACATAATACATCTCTGCTGTGAGATAAACAGAGTGCAAGCTGACCTAAAGAAAGGCTTCCCGAGAGACTTGCTGTTGTTACCCCAGACACTTCTCATACCATTAAACTCGTACAAGAACCCCAACCCTTCTCCCTGAGAGCTGATAGCTCCATCCTCTCTCAGCACTCAGCCATCACTCTCTTGCAGTTATCAATAAACTCTTAACTTTTCTATATCCCTTGACTGTTGGTAAATTATTTTATCACCCATGGTACCAGCATTTCCCATGCTGTGCCTTGCATGGCATCAGAGAGCTAGGATTTTTTTTTTTTTAGTTTTTTTCCAGTGCCAGGAATAAAACTCACGACCTTGTGCTTGCCAGGCAGGCGCTGTGCCGCTGAGCTAAATCCCCAGCCCCATGAGAGCTAGGATTACCAGCAGCCTAGACTCCACACCCAGCATGTGTTGAGTTGTTAAAGTAGCATATTATATTACTTTACATCAGAGGGATGACTAAGCTGAAATATCCAACAGCAGTTATCCACTAGCTTTGTGACCTTGGGTGAACTGTATCTCAGTTTTTTCTTCTGTGTGTTGGTGATAATGAAATACCTGCACCACAAGCTGTTGGGAAGATTAAAGAGTTTGATGGGTAGAAAGAGGCAGGTACATAGTACACGTTCTGTCAGGATTGGAAAGATGAGGAGGACAAGTGTGGTGCCAGGAAAGAGGATGCTGCATTGGACATTCTTTGTCCTCTTCCCTTAGTGAAGAATAAGTCACCAAAATTAAGATGCCTTAAAGTGTAGTACAGGTGGGAGTAGAAGTAATATCAAATATTTATCTCCATAGAGAAGTCAATAATATAAAGTCTTGCTGGCTTGTAGCCCAGAAATAAAAAAATAAATACCAGTACAGTGGCATGTATCTATAATCCCAGCAATTTGGAAGACTGAAGCAGGAGGGTGGCAAGTTTGAGGCTATCCTGGGCAGTTTAGCAAGACTCCATCTCAGAAACAAAAAGTAAAGTAAACTTTTTTTTTTCAGTTGGCTTTGGTGATGCAGGCCTATAATCACAGCACTCTGGGAGTTGAGGAAATCCCAATCAAAATAACAGCAGCATTCCTCACAGAACTAGAAAAAACCCTGAAATTTCTGTGGAATGAGAAGAGACCCAGAATAACAAGGCAAACCTGGGCAATAAGAGCAAAGCAGGAGGCAGCATAATGCCAGATTGCAAGATATATTTCAAAGCTATAGTGATAACAACAACATGGTATTGGCCCAAAAACAAACATGTAGATCAATGGAACAAAAAGCAGAATGCAAAAATATTCCAGTCACATTTAGCTATCTGATCTTTGACAAATGGGCTAAAAATATACACTAGAGAAAAGATAGTCTTTTTAACAAGTGGTACTGAAAAAACTGGTTATCCACACACAGTAGATTGAGTCTAGACCTGTATCTCTCATCATACACTAAAATAAAATAAAAATGGATCAAAGACCTAGATCTGAAACAGATAGACTAAATCTGCAGGAAGATAAAATAGGTTAAACTCTTGAAGACAGAGGTATGGAAAAAGACTTTCTGTACAGAACACCAATTGAACACGAAATAGGGCCAACAATCAACAAATGGAATCATGTAAAATTAAAAAGCAACTGCACACCAAAGGAAACAACCAACAGAATAAAGAGAAAGGCCACAAAGTGAGGAAAAATGTTTGCCAGCCATTCCTCAGATGAAGAACCAATTTTAGGAATTTGTAAAAAATAAAAAAATTACACCCCCCAAAAGACCTTATCATAAAACAGGCACTTGAAAGGTATAAGGACTTAGAAGACGTAAAATGGCTCATAAACACTTGTAAAACTGTTCAACAGTATTTGTCAGGACAGAAAGGCAAACTAAAACAACACTGAGGTTTCATCTTACTCCAAAGAAAATGGCCGTTATCAAGAAATCTAATAAAAACAAATGCTAGCAAGGCTCTGGGAAAAAGGAACATTGCTGCATTGTTGGTGGAAATGTAAATTAGTACAACCGCTATGCAAATTAGTATGAAGTTTCTTCAAAAAAGCCCAAAATAGAAATTCCATGCAACTCAACTACTCCCCTTCTATGTATCTTCCCTCAGGAGTTAATGACATCACATTACGGTGATACACATATATACATATTTAAAGC